CAATTACGAAAATTGTTATATCGACGATTCTACAAACTAATTTACTTTGTCCCATACTGAATATGTCATGCAATCTTGTCAGTATTAATATGCGTATATAATAATAAATCATATTTCCTAATGCGGATTCTAAAAAGAATTTGGGCTTTTGATTGCAAACAACAAAAAAGGAGTTTGGGCTATATAAGCCCATAACATCAAACTCTAAAGACGTCATCGCATTTTTGATTAAATGATAAATGATTGATTACCGACATTAATCAATCAATAATAATGTATGGAAAAAGAATTCAGAGAGTGTCATTAGTAAATATCTGAAAAGTGAAAATCGAAGCTCTCTTATTGCCTTTTGCTTTCCGGTTTAGCATAACGTCATTTCATCATCACTACAGTCAGGAAAATTAAAATCCGAAGAAGGAATCTTTTTAGATCTGTAATTCTTATTTCAATTCGATTATAAATAAGTCTTTTTTTTATGCATCTGCTTATTAGTAATGTTCTTCTACGTGCCCACCTCTTCTTCCTGTGCAAAATCTTGGTTTTATTAAACTTAATAAAACCCATTCGCATTTCAAGAAATTTGTCTCGAAAACATGAGCAGCTATTCTTGTAGTAATATTCTTGTCTTTTATTTATTACTAGTACCAGTCGTCGTATTCTCACTCGCTTTAACCGTAAACGCGAATTCGTTCGACTCGCTCCCGGGAAGACAGTCCCGCTCGACCCGACCACGACCCAGATCCGAACGGCTCCTCCACGTCGGGCATTTCGGTGCTAAAGGCAATGGCTTCACCGACGACACTAAAGTAACTAATCTCTAAACCCATCAAGAATCGTTTTTTTCTTTTTTTTTAACTGTCAAAATGAAATCTTTGAAATCCAAAAAATTCTTGAATTTGATTAAGAATTAGGAAAAACAGACAGTGATGATTGTGTGTCGGAAGTTAATGTGAAAATGGTACGCAGGCATTTGCAGATGCTTGGAAGACAGCTTGTTCTTCAAAAGCCAAAACAAGAATCTTGGTGCCTGAAAATTACACTTCTCTTGTTCGACCTATTGATCTTTCTGGACCTTGTAAAGCTAGACTCACACTCCAGGTAAAACCTTCCACATGTCTTTATAATGTCAAAAATTGTTGTCTTTGTTCTATTGTCTTAATCGAGTTTGTGTTCTGTATTTGTATAATAGATCTCTGGTACAATCATTGCTCCGAATGATCCAGATGATTGGGAAGGTCTTAACCTCAGGAAATGGATATACTTTCATGGTGTGAGTCGCTTGACGGTTGAAGGAGGTGGTACTGTAAATGGAATGGGTCAAGAATGGTGGAGAAGATCTTGCAAACACAATCATTCCAATGTAAGTTTGCCTCTTTTTCTCTTCAATTTGCTATCTTCAGAGAGATTAAAAGGGATTCTCACTGTTGTTACAACCATCTGTTTTGCAGCCTTGTCGAGGCGCTCCAACAGTAAGCAAGCAAAGCAGCCAATAGTTTTCTTCTCTGTTGGTGTGTGGTTACTGTTTTTATAACTCTGCTCGTTGTGTAGGCCTTAACATTCCACAAGTGTAAGAACATGAGACTTGAAAACCTCAATGTGATAGATAGTCAGCAAATGCACATTGCCTTTACTAGCTGTCGCCGTGTGACCATCTCTGGTCTAAAGGTCATAGCTCCTGCTAGTAGTCCAAACACAGATGGAATTCATATAAGCGTCTCTCGTGGTATTGTGATAGACAACACAACAGTCAGCACAGGTCAGTCCTCTACTTGATCAGACCTTAAATCCATATTTTTTGTCTGAATGTTAGTTATTTGTGTAGGAGATGATTGTGTTTCGATTGTAAGAAACTCTTCACAGATCTCCATCAGCAACATTGTATGTGGTCCTGGCCATGGCATAAGGTAACTAACTAAAGCCAAAGAGAGACAACAAACAGTATCTGCTAAGCATAACTCTTTTTTTTTTTTGTAGCATTGGAAGCCTAGGAAAATCAAAATCTTGGGAAGAAGTTAGAGACATAACGGTCGATACTGTAAACATCTCTGACACTGAGAATGGTGTTCGGATCAAAACCTGGCAGGTGATTTCATCTTATCAAAGTATTACTTCACGTTCTGAGAATGAAAGAAACTTAACTTGATTGCTTACACTTTGAACCAGGGAGGAAGTGGTTTGGTCTCAAAAATCATCTTTAGGAACATCAATATGAACAATGTGTCGAACCCCATTATCATCGATCAGTATTATTGCGATTCTCGGAAGCCGTGTGCGAATCAGGTAAAGAACTTGTGCCATTTCTTTCTTCAGGAGCTCAGAGTATTGAGCCTGAAATCTGAGAAAAAACTCAAAAAATTGCTGCAGACATCAGCTGTTACAATTGAGAACATTGCATTCGTTCACGTTCGAGGAACGTCAGCATCGAAACAAGCAATCAAGATCTCTTGCAGCGATACTTCGCCATGTCGCAACATACATCTACAAGACATTGATCTTGAACCATCAAACAGTGATGGTTTCACAAAGTCCTTCTGTTGGGAAGCTTATGGTTCGAGTTCGGGTCAAGTTTACCCTCCTTCTTGCCTTTCAGATGAGACAAGCTTCTTGAAACAGTCGGTTCAGTCCGAAATCACATCTGTATACCTTTAAACTCATGTTTCNAGATTGCAAATCTACCACGTTTCAATGCATACCGAAATATTCACGTTTTTAGCAATTATCCACGTTTCCCTTTTATCAACTTCATGAGGAACATATGTAATAACTAAAACTATAAGAAACTCATGTGAATTTAGGGAACATTTGTAATAGGCTAAAATAACCACAGACTGAAAGGAAAACTTGTAATATGGGCCTATGAACCTAAAAGGACCAACTATTGGCTGAGTTTATCAAACAAAGACAACTATGAAAAAAAAACGGCCCATAATGTGAATTTACAATATATATATTTTTTGTTCTTTTAATTGTCATCGGAGCTAGGAAAACGACCGGTGGAAGATGCCTTTCGGTGGCTTATCTACTAGTCCTCCTATGTTCTCTCTAATCAAGTCCCATTTGTTAGGTTAGATTTTATGTATGCCTTTCCTTTTTTTCAAAGAGAACCTTAAGATTTGATGCTTAATTTCCTATTTAAAATAGAAACGTACATAGTATTTAATTGATTTAAAAGTAGGGAATATCAGATTTGCAATTTTAAGAAAGGGTAAGTTGCAATTTTAATAATTAATTTGCCGATATTTTTGTGTGCTAGTTTAGAACTTTAGAGATGTAAGTGGATAAATGATGAAAGGATATGATTTTGTAAGATTAGCCTGCCTTGTTATATCTAAAACAAATTCAACATTCGATCACTTATTGGTTATTATTCCTTCCAAACATTCAAAAGTTGTTTCCGTAGGGATTAAAAAGACTTAAAACATACACATAATCCTATAAATACACCCCTCAAAAATCACACTCACCATCATCCAAATATCAAAGTCCCCACTAAAACACACATAAAAGAACAAGAAGATGAACTCCCTACAACAACTTCCTGGCACCAACTCCAAGATGATTCTCACAGAGAAGAGAAGATCGGTGACAATTCCTTCGAATGGCAATAAGCTCGAAAGCAAGTCCACGATGGTTCATGATGTCGACAAATGCGCAGAAGCTTTCATCCAAAACTTCCGGCGACAACTTCTTCTTGAGGCCGATAGCATCATCCCTAGAGGAAGTCTTTG